CTTCTTCTTTATTGTAAGGAGTAACTACGCTTGTAGGGGTCCCTTCAATAACTTAGGAGTGGTAGAAGGTGGGTAGTGATTCGTGAAATTAGTTTAGATCAACCATCAGTATGTCTTCCAACAATTTTTCTATGACGCTGTGACATGCATGTCGTATTTTGTGGGATGAAATCGGCACGACAGTTTACAAAACATACATTCAGACAAAATAGTCTCGCATACGGGACCCGTTTCGCCTAGATGTATCTTTTGAGAACTAACATGAATGTTCATTCCGCCAGACGCGGCTGCATGAGGTGAACATGCAACTGCGTCTTATAAAAATGGTTGAAAAACGTACTTATGTATGTTCCTTAGCATGTTGTCAACGTTGCGGTTTGCATACTTCTGCAACTTTCTGGGATCAGCCGGCGGAGCAAAATGGTTGACAGCGCCAGATAAAAGGAGGCTCATATTATAGTTTTATCTCAATATCACATTTCACTATCTACCTACCATTACTCCGAAGCCTATAAAGGGGGTCCTTGCAAGCATAAATACCTCTTATAATGAAGGGGATGCATATTGCCCCCCACTCAGGGAGTAGGGGGGGGGACGCTGGTGGGGTTGGCCGACATACACAAAGACCGAGCATTTTCCCAGTACATGCGCCTCCCTTCTACTAGTTCATTTTTCTGTGGCAGTGCCTCGGCAGTGGCGGTTAAAAAAAAAAAGAAAAAAAAAAAAGAAAAAAAAAAAAGAAAAAAAACACTTATGGCTGCCACTGCCAGCTTGACCCCCACAACACTTTGACAATTCGAGGGTAAGGTCCAACTTGGACGGTTCAGGAAATATCGCCCATAGATAATGAAGATCAGAGGTCAACCAGAGTTGGGCAAAATTGAGGTTTGGGAGCCGAGTCCTACTTGCCGAAAGTCTTCATTTTTCACCGTCTATCTTTGCAATCTATGGTAAAAAATGGATAAGTGGGACTTGGCCTCTGGAAAACGAGTCTCGGGCGGTGGATGATAGATAAAAGGAAAAAGGGGTACACTGTCGATATGGTCTCATAACCGTCGCGGAGGGGTAGGCATGCATCGCCTTGCCTGCTGCTCGTGCAGACCTACAAAAATCTCTTCTAGATAAAATAGGAGAATGGTAGTCTGTAGATGATGCCAGATCACACAAAAGTGAGTCAGAAAGGTGGGCTGGAGACTCGCACACCGTGGGAAAATCGAGGGTGGGCGGGACCGCTTCACTAAATCAAGGCGAGGGGAAAAAAAAACTCGACCTCTGAGGACCTGACCCTTGTGTGGCGTGCACGCAGGTTTGTATTTGCAATGAACGCTGCGAGCGGTCGGGGCCTGGAAGGTGCAACTTGGGAGAGTACTCAAGCTATTGTGACTGGACAAGCGCTTGTGACTTACACTGTCGCAGGACAGAGTAGTGGGACCGGAAGGGTCAGCGAGGCCGTGCTTCAGCCGGGGTAAGTTGTCACATCAGATCCAGGTAACCGTAGATGTTGAGTGGGTGCTTGTTTGACGTGGATGAAAATAACTGCGCTGCTTGTGGGCCTTAGATTTTTTTTTTTTTTTTTTTTTTTTTCAACTCAACTTCAATTCATTATAAATGGAAATCGAGGCCGGGACCTCACAATTCAACCCGAAAATTGTTGACAGCATTAGCCAGCTTAGCTTACAGGCTCTTGCCTGAGAAACCTTATGCACTATACTTACCGAAACCTTACCTGTTCTACCAAACTCTGTGTAGGTACCACAGGATCCTATCCACTGTTACTTACCAATTTCATGAAATAACTTTTCCAATAACTTTCATTTGAGAGCTTTGAAACAGGCTGTTGACATCACTCCTCATCAACTACCTACTTACAAAGTCCGAGACTAACACGGCCCAGAGGACGGCGTCCGGTCCTACTGTCACTCTTCTAACAGTCTACTTCGACCCTACTGCACCGAGTGCCCTGGTGCAAGACTCACGGTCCCGTGCTGTCCCTTGACTGTTCTCTAACCTACCGCCCCACCCTGGTGGTGACTCCGCACGGGTGACTTGTTGAGGACCCAATCTGAGAAGATCAGGCCCTCCCTTGGGTGAACCGATTCTAACTGATTGTTCCTCGCCCAGGTGTGGCGGAATCAGTGGAGTTGGCTCCTACTCCCTTTTCCTGCCTTTGCTTTGCGTCTCTAATCCGCTCGAATGGCCTGCTTCAGACCCTGTTTGATGTGCCCCCTCACCTCCAAATCCGAGAAAGGACGTCTCCTCCTCTCCCTCTCTGCGGCTCATACCACTTCGGATATCGGGTGACCCTCCATGCGTTCCTCTGCCTCCTCGACCCTTCTTTTGCAGTCGACTTCCTTCTTGTTTTGATCCCTTGCGAGAATTCTGGAAATGACGTCCATAATTCCTGAGGTGATTGTTATCCCTCCATCCAGCCATTGTGCCTTGGTCTCGAAGTGTATCTGTGCTCGGGCCCAGCTTTCCATGTGTTTGGACACCCATTCCCCCACTCCTGGTTCTTCCAAGACCTGACTGTTTAGGCGGAAAAAAACACGCCCCGTGGTTGCACTAAGAACCAGCTTGACGTCCGCTATCACGAGCTTGTGGTCCGACAGCGGATTGCAGACTGTGCGAACCGTTGTTACCTGATTCTGCAGATGCTCGTCAATTAGGAAGTAATCCAACCTCCTCCTTGTGATGTGTTACCTGTCCCTGTGCAGGTGCGAGTACCATGTGTACCCGGGGTCCGTTTGGTTCAGTGATGGGAAGGGGTCTACCAATGCCAACTCTGTGCATAGCTCCAATAGAGCATGGACGTCCCTCCTGTCTGTTTGTGTAGAGCCCACCCTCAGTGCTTCGTCCATTGAAAAATTCCAATCGCCCCCCAAGAGCAGTCTCTCGGTCCTTGGAATGTGTTGCATTAGCCTGGTTAGGAACCTCACCCTTTCCCCTCTCTCGTTTGGCGCATACACAGTCATGAACACCCACTCCTCGTTTGCCACCTCTACCTTGAGCCAAGCCCACCTCCCCCACAGGTCAGCCTTCGAATCAATCACCCTGGCCTGAAGGTCCCTATGCAGTAAGATCGCTACACCACCTCTCGTCCCCCGGGCAGGGGCCCACACTTGCGGCCCATCCCACCACGCTGTCATGTCCTTCAATTTGTCTTCGTCCAACTTCGTTTCCTGCAGTAGTATGCAGTTCGCCTTCCACTCATGTAGCCACGATTTCAACCTTCTTCTCTTCTCCCTTCCGTTCGTATCGCCTAACCCCCTCACATTCCAGGTAACCGCCCTAAGTTTGTCCCTCATTATCCTGAGTAGCACCCGCCTTCAGTTGGATGTGGGGGGAGGACTGCTCTGTTGTCAGGTGTTGTCCATGTGAACTTCTTCTTTCTGAGTTCCTTCTGGACTGCTGCAGACCCCGGCTTGCCCTGGACGAGCTGGTATGAGAGTTGGATTGCCATTCTTCCGTTAACTTTGACACCAGGTAGCTGGAATGGAAGTTTTCATCCTCCAGGAGCTTTTCATTCACCTTCAGCAGAGCCATAGCAGAGATTTCAGGTAAGATTCTAATGAGATGTAGCTCTTGTGAATTCCTTTCACGTACCACGTCTCTGTGAAATCAACGGATCCCCCCTTGTGACAGCAAGTTCACTGATTTAGGCGGTATGCATGCGTCCAGCAACGGGAAATAAATCTTCCTATAACCTTGTACTGTCTCACACATTACACTCACCATAGTGAAGTGAGGAATCAATCGGACTGGTACGTGAGTACCGTAGAGCCTTCTGGTTATCTCTAGAATTTTGGCAGGAGTAGGAGAACGATCCACCTCCTCTGAGGGGATCAGCGGGAAGCCTTCTGCGTCCGTGGTTGTCAAGAAGAAAGCACCATTGTCTGTGTGGGTGCATAGTATCGGGGCCAGGCACCTCTGCACTGTTTCCATCTGGTTTCTCTCAACTGCGTCTGTTCTCCTATTCTTGTCGAAATCGTGTTTTGGTCTCTCTGCCTGCCTGCACCCCGAGCCTGTAGAACTCTCCATTGACGACGAGGGACCTGTTTTTGCCCGGTCCCCTTCTTCGCATTCACTCCCCCACCTCACTCTCGAATGTGATGACAGGGAGGTCTTTGAGAGTTCTTCTTTCAATCTTGAGATACTGGACTGCGGAAATACTGGGCCTCTTCCCCCAATCGCTTCATCCTCCTCTTCTCGAATGGTGGGGACTGCGTGTGGGGGGCCCTGACGCCATGAATGGGAACCTTCCCCTCTGAACCTCCAACTTTCCTCCCCTTGGGCATCCCACCACGACTCGATTCCTCTGTGGCGTCTTCTGGTTGAAGTAGCGCTCGCCTCACGCCTGGACACTTCGAGGGCCTGGTGTCTTTCTTGCTCTTGACAGGCCAATTGTCTCCAGTCATACGTGGCTGAGGGGTACTTGGGACGGGGGTGTTCGATGGTGTTGTGACCCAATCTGAAGCTCGGCTCCCGGCCCGCCTGGAACTGCTGCTGGTGAAGCTGCTGCCGGTGGTAGATCGTCCCTTCATCCGGATGTCCTTGGTACTCCAGGCGATCGTGCCAGCTGATTGGGCCCATGGGGCCTTGGAACCTTCCCTCCAAAGGGCCATCCCCTTGTGGGGCATTGGCTCCAAAACCCAGCCACTCCTCCCTTGGTGCCCACGTTGGTAACTGAGCCTGGCCTGGGCCTCCGATAGGCCCCTCACCCCAAATGTGATCACTTCTCCAGTTCTGGAGTTCACCCATGTCATGTCTCTGTTGTCCACTCATGCCTGATCCCCCCTGAATTTGAGTGAAATCCCTGATGGGCGGCCCTGGAATCACTTCCTCGGGGCCACGACGAAAGGAGCTTGAAGCTGCATGTGCTTGGATCGGAGCTCGGTTACTGCTCTGCCTAGGGAGTTTTGTTGCGCGGCTTGTTCCTGGTTGAGGTGTAGCCTGTCTCTGTGATCGGTCTTCTTCTGGGCCGATCCTCCTGTTGTCCCTAGGATCGCGGATCTGGTTCATTAGATATTCCTGGTATCTGGCTTTGTGTCCGTCTTACCTATCCCCATTGCTTCTCCGACTATCTTCGCTTTGGCGACGGGGACAGTTCTCCTCCGTGTGGTAGTACCACTTGCATCTTCGGCACCAGTCTGTGTAGGGCGTAACAATATCAACTCTCCAGCGTTCTTCTTTTGGTGATTCAATCACCAAATCGTCATCAATACGACATCTGGCATTTGGCGGCATATCGAACTTCACATTCGTTAGTTTAGGCCTGTCCCTGTCGTACTCTGGATTATGCATTTCTACTACTTCACCAAACATACCCCTTACTGCACTCTTCAGGTAGTAGTAGGCATCCAGAGGGACTCTCAAGGCCATAATCCAGAATTTGGACTCTGCTTCCTGCAGTCTGGCCTCCTGCAACTCCTGCGAAGAAAGTCTTGGTTTGAATAGCACTTGGTATTCTTTCCCTCCTAGCTTAATCTTCAGTTCCCCCTCCTGCACGAGCCACTCCGCGATCTCTTTCGCTTTAGCTACGTAGGATGCAACATTAGCCCCTTCGAATTTAACTCTGCCCCGTCTCGTATCCGGGTGAAAGAGCCGTTGTGCTGTCCATCCATCCTCGTAGGCGCGAATCAGGTCCTCTTTCACTGATCTAGCTAGCGTGCGTGCTTCCCCCTGGAAGACTACTATAACTGATCTCTCTTTCAACCATTTGTCTTTAACTTCATTCACCAATTCGTTCACCACGAACCGTTTGCCCCCTTCATCTTCCACCACTTCACCCAGGTGCAAGTCGTCAGGACAGACCCCTTCATCGTAGCACCTACTAACCGATTCCCTAATCCTTGTTCTGTTCTCTTCCATTGTAAGGGGGTTTGGGTGAGGCGTTCCTGACTCTACTGTTGCGTTTGCCATGTCTTGACGAATCTCCGACGATGCTGCCCTCGCTCTGCACTTTCCCCCCCAGTCAGACACCCCGGGACAGCGTAAGAGATCAGTTCTGGAATGCTGGCCTGACGCTGGCTCTAAATGCCCGTCATGCCAATTCATCACCCCGAACTAATCTTGTGGTGTCGCCCCAGTAACACAAGAGAGATCTGCTAATTAAACACTCTCCCTGGCGAAGACCTGTAATTGCTTCCTAAATTCGACTTCGCGAGATCAGCCAGGTTTGCCGCTTGCTTTGTTGCAATGTCCACTCTGGATAACGCCATCGCATTTCCCCTTGCCATGCTCCCACCGGGTGCGTGCAAGAGAGCCACTACCTTCGCTCCATTTCTCCGATTAACCGAAATTCTAGTTTTAAGCATACCGACTGTAGGATGTGCAAGGACCAGTCAGAGGGTGAGTGCGTGTGTTTCCTTCTACCTTGCGATGACGCGGATTGGAAACTCTCTAACCTGGAAAGGAAAGGATCCGTTTTTACGAATAGCGTTAGTCCATATTGTATTTCCTGCCTCGTTACTCCGGTCCGCCTGCCTTCCCGATGACCATTGCCACGCCTGGCCGTTGTTCCCCTGTGGGATCGGATCGAGGTTTAACCTCGCGCGTACTACGATCTTAGTACCGCCACATCTAGCCACTGTTCTTCTACAGTATCGGAACGAGGTTATTGCCTCCCGAAAATTATGTTTGTAATAGCGCTGGTACACGACAGTCATTAAGCCACTCCGCTTGACACTACGTCGACCCTTTCTTTCAACCCGATTTCCGTTGGCATTGCTGGTACTTAACTGCCCCCGGACAAACGATGTTTCCGCCCGTCTTCTCCCACCCCCTTCTCTACCAAATTACCTATACTTCGATCACGGTTAACACTAGTTGAGGACGAAACCAACCTAACACTCCCCGACCTTAACCTAATCCGCCACAGAGATCGCCACAGACGTAACCACAGAAGTAGCCAACAAGTAGCCTATATAGGCGATTGTTGTTTCCGATTAACATCCCTGTTGCGCTCTCCAGACCTATTCCTTGAATACTTGGTAGAGACCGCACTCCTTCAGGAACGAATCGAGGCCGTGCTCGCAGCTTTTATCCCGCGCGTGACCGCTTCGTTTTACCGCGACTGAAGGATTACCGAGGTCTGCTTGGTAGTAACCCGCACCCACACCTGTCCGATTCCTCGTAGGATGGGAATCGGGTTCAGCACTATTCTGGCTATGATTCGGAGTAGCCTCTCTCATCTTCCTCTCCAATGTGTCCTCCGTGATGTTCGCCGACCCTACCCGAACCAACCTACCCGTCGACGGACTTAGCTAAATCTGCCTAACAAAGGGCAGACACTAGAGACCCGATTACCTTCTTCCTTAACAGAGACAACCTAATTCTCCCCTTTCGGATGGCCGAGGTAACTAGAGGAGGCGGCACAGAACCGCCCACCCTCTCGTTTCCCTTAACCATCGTGTTCCGCGGTCTTCCGTTTTCACCGTAGGTAGTTCTATGTAATACCTACTCTTGATTACCGAGGTGGTTCTGAAGCAAATGAGTGGTAACTGTTTCCCTTCGTTACTCCGCAACTTACCAATTCACTTCCAAAACTGAGGCAGGCCTAGGGGCATAAACCACCGAGCTCCGCTACTGAGGCTATGGACTACCCGGATACCATGGCAGCAAGGCGGGCAAGCAGGCAAGCCAGCAAGCCCTACGCTCGATGAGGGCGTGTGCTCCGCGATTCCCGACCTCCGTCGCGATGGCGAAGGTTTCGACCAGGCAGCGTCGCTGGCGCTAGTCGCCCGCAACGACGGAGTTACCGGAGCGCTAAGTTACGCCGCCCGGTAACGCCACTCCCCCAGCACCGGGCCTTAGATTTTGTAGATCTACGTTCTGCAATTGAAGTCCCAAATGGCAACGATCTGGTACCAAGTCCCAACCGCCATCCTTGTTGTTTCTGTTGATGCAGGCGGAGAATGGTTGTTTGTTGAATCCGGTTCATCCACCTTGTGCGCAAGCAGGTGCACTGTTGCTGGCGTAATGTTACCCTGGTCGTGGAATCTGGGCCATAATGCTGGTGCTGGCCTCGCATTATTGCATCTATCTGCGCATCCAACCACCGGATTCGAGCTCATGACCCCTTAAATAACGGTTTCTTACTTCTTTGCACCAACCATTTTCGGCTGCACCACCGAACGCAACGCACCCTCATTTTCGGCTGCACCACCGAAAAGATCGCTGGTATACATTCGTTATCAGGGTACGTTGCGCTCGGGGAAAGACGGTATAGGGGAGCGGGTCCTTCCGGTTTTTTATTTAATCCCCCAGTTTCCTCAGCATTCCTATTTTGGACTTTCGCATACTTCCGTCGTCATAAATCACGAACGAATACGTCCTTCTGAAAAAAAATAGAAAAATAAATATAAATAAATAAATAAATAAACAAATAAATAAATAAATAAATAAATAAATAAATAAATAAATAAATAAATGGCCCAGGTTCATGCGAACCTTCCACAAGCATACAACTACTACCTCACCGTCGCTCGCTCGCCGTCGGGAGGGGCGATGGAGCGAGAGCTTTGGGTCGGTCGGCCCCTAAAAGTACCCTTGCTCGTCCGTTGCCGGGAAAAAATGTTTCCTTCTGGGAGCAGCGCGCAGCCGGTTTGGGCGTAGAGAGGGGCCCAAGTCCCAAGTATTATGCTGACCGGTCATTCTTGTCTTGGCCGTTGATCTTCCTATGGTCGCAAATCGAAAATTGAGAATTGAGAATTCGTTTTTGGGTAAGGGGGGTCTTTTTTGGGTAAGGGGGACTTGGCCCTCAGTGACTGTGTGGGAAGCGGCGTGTCGTTTGAGCAGCCGGCTAAGTGTTGCGTCGTGTGTTTTGAGCAGCCGGCAAGTGCGGAAAGTGTCCTGTGGTTTGAGCAGCCGGCACGCGGGGCAGGCGTCATCGTCGTCATCTTGTTGTGTTCTTAATTGGTGCCTTGTAGGATCGATGACACGTGGCTAATCACACATATCACATTGCGGGTAAGTTGCCTTATTCACTCTCAATCATTTTTTTTTTTTTTTTGGTCGCCTCTTCTTTTCCGCTTCTTCTCCGCTCCACTCCTGCCCTTCTGTCATCGGGGGTGAGGAGAACGAGCAGACGAGTTATGACATCGCCAGACATCTCTTTTCTTGTTTTCAAGAAGAAGAAGAAGAAGAGAAGAAGAAGAAGAGAAGAAGAAGTAGAGAAGAAGAAGAAGAGAAGAAGAAGTAGAGAAGAAGAAGAAGAGAAGAAGAATAGTGAAAACAGTGGCCATAGACTGCTTCTTGCACGCGCATCGACAAGATACTGTATTTCAATACTTCTCCGCATGTACAGTTCTCAGTTGAAAAAGAAAGTGTAAGTGGGGGGGGGGAGCAGCACGTGCTGGGAACCGGGCGCAGCGTCCCATATGAAGTGTATAGAAAGTATGAAGATTGACCGGGGCCATTACCTGTCAGATTTACGGGGGCCGTTACCCGCCAGACATCAATGTCGATGTCGTTTTTTTCTCTTTTTTTTTTCGTCGATTATGCTGTTTTGTGAAATTGCCAGCAACCTTACCTTTGAAAAAAAAAAGAAAGAAAAAGAAAAGTTGCCAGCAATTTTTTTTTTCTTTTTAATTTCGATTTATGCGTGTCATCCTTGCGCAGGGGCCATGCTAATCTTCTATGTATCGTTCCAATTTTAACGGATGTCCCGAAAACGGGCAGTAAAAACAAAAAAATAAAGGAAAAGAAAAGTTGCCAGCAATTCTTGAAACGGGCAGTAAAAACAAAAAAACAAAAGAAAAAGAAAAGTTGCCAGCAATTCTTGAAACGGGCAGTAAAAACAAAAAAAAAAAGGAAAAAGAAAAGTTGCCAGCAATTCTTGAAACGGGCAGTTATTATACCCTGCTGCAGACGTGCAAGCGAAAAAGGAAAGAAAAAGAAGAAAAAGAAGAAAAAGAAGAAAAAGAAGAAAAAAATTGTATGGGGTGTAGGTTTGGGGTTGTACCAGCTGATAGTGGATGAATGACGGGTTGGGGGTCCGGGCGTGGAAGAGGTAATGGTTGCCGCGGGTGATACTAGTAAATGAGCATTATCGTCTGCATCTGCTCTACTGCTACAGCTGTCTGTATGATCCGTTGTGCCGCGGTTGCTCTACCTTCTCTCCTCCTCCTCCTGCTTATCATCGTCGTCGTCTTTGTCATCGTCTGGGAAAGGCAAAGTCAAGTCAGTCTAAGTCAGTCTGTGCTGCCTATCGCACGCACGGGTTTAAAGGTGGATCTGCAGAGCTCGGACTCAATCTGAACGTTCTCTGATTGCGGGATTGGGATAGGGGGTGGGTGGGGAGATGGACGGTTGGGATGGGGGCTGGGTGTGGATGGGTTGGGAGAGGGAGAGGGACGGTGTGGATCGGCAGAGGGTCGGTATCGAGGGTCAGGATGGACGGATGGATGCCGGGGATGGAAGTTGGGACTTGGGTGGGTCGGGATCGCTGGTGGGCAACTCCGGATGGGCACAGATGCAGCGACTGTGTGACAGATAGGTATCCATCGCAGGGTCGGGACTCGGGACTGGGGTTCGATGAATCGACATGACACGGGTTGAGAGAGAGAGAGAGAGAGAGAGAGAGAGAGAGAGAGAGAGAGAGAGAGAGAGAGAGAGAGAGAGAGAGAGAGAGAGAGATTCCAGCAGGTGCATCTGACCACCAATGGAATGGAGCAACCC